TTTTGCGGTGCGCTGCCCGTCGTGCATGTCATTTTTTTTTTCTTGCAACATCGAAGCGGGTGCGCCAGGCAAACAGGAGAGAATTTGTCCCGACGACAGTACACAAATAAGCAAATAAGTGAGGTGCAGAAGAAAATGAAGAACCAAAGAGCGCCCCAAGACAACAAAAAGAAAACTCAACTCTGCCCACGCCCATGCTGGAACTTCACTCAACAGTACAGTAATAGTGTCGATCCATTTCGTTCTTTGTTGGCCCCGTAAGCGTGGGCGCTACACCATAAATCGAACACAACCTCATTAGTGCCGGTACCGGCACTAATGAGGGATTGGCCAGCCCTCAATAGTGCCGTTTTGGCACTATTCGCAATAGTGCCGGGTGCCCGATTTAGTGCCGGTGAACGCTCTGTGCACGTACCGGCACTAAAAGGGTCCCTCGACTGTAGATTGAAGTAAAAACTTCACATGACAATTCGTGATGGCGTCTAAAACGCTAAGATCAATCAACCAGCTACTCCTCTCGACCTGCATAACCCCAGACTACAGTGCGCTTGGGTACCCTCGTCTACAAGCTAAGGTCGATCGACTTGTTCGCCCTCTCCTCCTGAAAGGCCACTGATTTCTGTGCGCTCTTGGCTGCCTCCGCTCGTGCCAAATTATAAATGAAGAAAATAATAAATGAAAAAAAGTAAAAAAAAAATGAGGTGAGGAAAGAGAAATAAGAAAAAGAAGATGAACAAAGATGCAGGCCAGGTGAATTCGAACCACTGTTGTACGCTGAATATCGCCCTCAGTATACTCTTCTAGGCTACTACTCTCCCAGGTGCGTCAACCTCACAGGTTTGTGCGACATTGCGGTACTTTTGGGGCGGTACTGCAATATGGCGGTACTATTTTGGCGGTACTGCAGTACGGCGGTACTGCAGCACGGCGGTACTGCAGCACGGCGGTACTTTTTCGGCGGTACTGCAATATGGCGGTTCTTTTTAGGTTCCCGGTACTTCGTTTTTCGGCGGTACTTCTTCGGCGGTACTGCAATATGGCGGTACTTTTTAGCCGGTAGGCGGTATTTCGTTTTCCGGCGGTACCGCCTTCGGCGGTTCGCGGTACACCACCGAATGTGACGGTAATTACCGCCAGTACCGGGACCGCCGACCACGGCGGGATAAAAACGGCGGGAATTTTTCCGAGGTGTATCCCCAAGGTCTGTGTGATTGCCCCGACTTACTTCTATCACGCTTTGCTACGCGCCCTTTGGGTCTATCGCAGCTTGGATTCAAGACTGCCGTAGGGATGCCGTTCAAGGACATCGCCACGACCGACAGCGTGTACCTGGAGCAAGTCCCTGCCGCAGACGACAAGAACGCGCGCACGTCCCTTCGCCGAATGCAGGAGGTGAAACGTTCACGAATTTCGCTTCCACGCAAATGTGGCACAGCTGCACCTTGGGTAACTGTGTTTCTGCAATTGTATGGGCTGTTTAACCCACGTTCATGCTACCACAATAGCCTCCTTCTGCTCTGATTATGTCACAAGTAGGGATGTCCCGCACCGAGCAACGTGCAGAAAATATCGAGAGTATCCCGGAAATTCACAGGATGCCAATTGCCATTTTTCGTGCAGCGACGGTGTATATACGACGCGAGATTTTTCTATCCGCATAACGTTTTGTGGAGCCCGTGCTTATGGATCACCTACTTTTCCATTGTGGTTGTGCCGGGTCACAGTAGCTCCAAAACGGCTGTTGTAGCTGGCCATCGTGTGATGGGTCGAACTCCATTTAGTTTTCCTGGAAAAAGCTAGTTGGTCCAGCTCGTCCAGCAATCGTGTTCGGACATGGACAATTTTGCAGATTTGCTTGATTGGGTATGAGACCACCGCAACGAAGATTTTCAGCTCTATTGATTGTGACGGACGTTACCTGTTGGGCTTTGACACAGCATGCGGAGCTTATTGCGCGGAGCTGATGCGGAGTGGTCTCCATTTCACCCAATGCATGCCCACGGCTCAATTGCTTCCGTGCGTTTGTTGCATGTCATGTGCAGGCGGGAGTTGGCGTCTTGGCGCCGCTGGCGGCCTTGGAAGCCAACCCAATTGCGAATGCTGTCGCGGTTGTTTCTCTGGAAGACGTCGCAAAGTCAGGAGGGCAAGTCAACCTGCCGAAAGGCGCCATCAGGCTTGCTGTGGAGATCAAGGTGAGCCTCGTTGGGCTCCTGGAGCCCTGCCTTGGATTTGTTCTTGTACTTCCACGGCTGGAACAAATTTTTGCGAAGCGTTTGTCTCAGACCAACGGCAACGAGGTTGATCTCGGCTTTCGTACATACCTGGTACAGGTTTCCCCTTTACACTGAAATCAGCGGCATTTCGTCTCTTGAAAACCTATAGCTGTCACGGATGTACAACATGCTGCTCAGGATTTCCTGTTCGGTATTCCCGAGGAAAGGTCGGACTATATCCTCGCGACGGCACCGCGGGTATGAAAGTCCAATGCTTACGTCGGAACTACGAATAATAGCCGTTTAGTCGTTTAGTCGGGACTTGAAAGTGACCTGTTGTTGTTTCAACGTACGTGCGTCGTGGTCTGATTCCGTCATCACAGGGGACGGAAGACCTGTCGGTGCTGTCTAACATCTCCCCGAAGCCCATGGTGGGCCTTCTCAATGTGCCAGCTGGAGTCAGCCGCGTTCATGCTTCTCGGCGAGTGTTCCAGCACCTCGCGGACGCCAAGAACGATCTGGCCATTATTCATCATGTGTCTTTCCTAGATGCCTCGGAGGTATGATGACTGTGCCGCATGCGTGCTAGTCGCCTTAGCCTCGTACAGGATGCGGCTGATACTTGAGGTTGACGGTGATTGCGACTGTTCCAAACAAAAGTTGTGCATGACTGTGCAGTTTCTTCTTTCTGTGCCGCCGTGCGCCGTGAGCAGATGTCGCAAGATAAGTTCATCCTGAGCGTCGGGGCCCAGGTGGGAGGCTGCTTGGTGGACGGGCTGGGAGACGGTGTTATGGTACAAGCTCCCGGCCTGGATGTGGGCATGCTGCGCTCTGTCTGCTTCGGCCTCCTGCAGGTAAAGTACTGAAGTTGATTCGGTCACGCTGGTTTATTTCCCCACTCTTACCACACACGCTGAATATTGATATTCCCGCCGAATCGGAACATATGTCTTTGCGATGTGAACTTGGATAATGCACATAGTTGTCAAGTCTGTTTTGTTTACTCACTGATCACGTTTTGTTTTCGAGCCGTGTTGATGCCGCGTTCTCTAGGGGATCCAGACAGGACTGGAAAGGTAGAGCGCAGCATTGTTCATCGCTTGCGGGCAGGCACTGCCATTAGCGTGTGGCAGCATAGAAATAATATATCTCGAACAGGGATGTTAACGTAGGTTTCGCCGTTTTGCACATCGTACTGGGCGATCAATCCTAAAAATGCGCTTTCACTTGCCACGCGTGCCGCTGTTTGCGTGGCAGGGATGCCGCATGCGCAACACGAAAACGGAGTACGTATCTTGCCCAAGCTGCGGACGAACCCTCTTTGATCTTCAAGAGGTGAGTAGGTTTGCCCCAAGCTCAAATATCCGTGCAGCTGTGCGCGGAGGGCATTGGTGGAGAGACAACTGCTAGCACAGGCACGAAGCTTGATGCTCAGAGTTGATCGCTTTGCTCACGTGTAAATTATGGTGCACAAGTGTTTCCAACTGGCCATTTGCTGCCCGCTGGTTTGCGTGTCCTGCGCATGCAGGTGACAGCGCAGATAGCTGAAAAGACCGGGCACTTGCCGGGGGTTGCCATTGCCATCATGGGTTGCATCGTAAATGGCGTGGGAGAGATGGCAGATGCCGATTTCGGATACGTGGGTGGGGCACCTGGAAAGGTGAGAATGTTGAAATACTGCATGTTGTACACAGGACCTCGACTGACAGGCTCGGATGTCTCTGGTCGGAGTAGAGGCTACAAGTATGGGGCAATGCATGAACAGGAAAGACGCGAACAACAGCCGCACTGGAAATGTATTTCGGCATTGACACTTCACAATGTTGCCCAAAACCTGCAGGTGGACCTCTACGTGGGCAAGGAGATGGTGCAAAAAGGAATCCCCAACGAGGAGGCCTGCGACGCCCTGATTGATCTCATCAAGGCGAACGGTCGCTGGGTTGACAAAGAACCGGCCGAAGAGGAAGTCGTGGCCGCGTGAACCGCGTGAAGGATCAAATCCACTCTTTTCTGAGGGAAGGAAAGTTTTTTGTCGAGCGATTGTATGGTTCTATTTTAGAGAAAGACGACGTTCCAACTAATCGTTTAGTGTTTCACAAACTTAAGAGGTGCGCACATGGATCTCCCAGTACCCAGTTCTTCTCACCTAGGGCTACCGTGTACATTCCTGATCTTTCGACCCAGTATCTGCCTTGCAAATATGGGCCCTGTCACCCCTGGCACATGCAAAAACAAACGAGTACAGCTCGTTCCATCTCGAATCATAACGCGTTTTCTCGGTCGGGCTCGTTCTGGCGCCCCGTTCACCCGCAGCAAAAACGCTGTTGGAATCCTGATATAAAATGCCGGGATTGGGACCTAACCTAAGCAAACCGTCAAACGATCAAGCACCAAAGTCCTCAGTCTAGCGCACCAAATCATGGCGATGATACTCTAACGAAACCCATCGTGTCTTCATTCGAGCATTCAAGCTGTCTCGATCGAGGCGCTCTAGCTGGGGCACTGGCTACGAGCCGTCCAAGGACCCAGCCGCCTTCCTGGGCACGCCTGGTGACTACAGGCTTTTTTTTCACGAGTTGACACATTCGTGGGCTTGCCTCACGAAAACAACGGGTATCTCTAAAACTGTAAGTTATCTATATTGTATTTTCTTTGTTACTCGACGCAAATAATGCACGGAGCCTGCTTTTTTGGGAAAAGAACCACTCCTCTTGTGCCGAACACAACCACTGGCTTCCCCACCCTCCCCCCTCCCGCTTGGCAGCGTACTGCTCTTCGCAACAGGCCAAGCTACTTAACTACTTCTTTTACTCCTGAACTCCCTCTTCACAGGGATGGCCGTATGATTAGCCCCCACTCTGCAGAGGGACAACCGTTCGGTTTGTCGTTTGAACAAGGGTCTCGTATGCGATTTGAACTGGCGTGGACCACTTGCCGCTGTCTTTCATCGCCGCCTTCTTCCTCCTGCATGTCTTCAACAGATCGTTGATGCGAACGCTTTCCGGCAACCCACCACGTTGGATGACCGCGTTTGACATTGCGTTCAAGGTCGAAATCGCTGCTTCGTCTGTCTCAACAGCGAGGAATGCGTCCAGTTTTTTTACGAACTCTTGCTTGTATGCCCGTTGAGCAGCAGAAAAATCAGCTTGCCGAGCCTCCATCGCCTTGAACTCCGCCGTAGGCTCTTTCAGATACTCTTTCTGCAAACACGAACGACACCACCAGGGCACAGACAACCAAGACGGTTGTTGACCACAAAGGTCAGGCTGCGCGAGCATATTTTCAGTACTTCATTACTACGTATATAGTTGCACATAGGTACATGCACGTAACAAAAATACTTGACAAGAAAAACCTAACAGGGGGGACGCCGTTCAAAAAACGGGCCTGCGTGTCTGTGCGTCTGAGTCTTGTGTGTGCGTCGATTAAAGCCAGGAGAATGGAGCATATCACCAACTAGGCGCCAAACTACAAGCCTTGTGCCCAATGAGGATGTTGCGCGTGTTTTCACAACCTCTTCCCGCTCAATTGTGCTCAGCGCGTCGAGCTACTAGCGTTGTCGCCGAACTTGTTGTCTGGAAGGATGCATCCGAAGGCGTCATTATGGGCATGCTGTGTGCTGCGTGCCCCTCGTACTTAGAGGGGAAGAGATAGGCGAATGAGGGGGTAGGGACATGCCAGCCGAAGGGAGGCGGGACGGTGTGACCAACTCTTGTATTGCTGTTGTGGAGGCGACGAGGGAAGCGGCAGGGCGTGTGGAACCACATACACACCCATCCAGTGTTTGTGGGTTTTGGTCGCGGCGCCTGTTCTCGTCTTCACGCGGGAGAGCAGATCATCAGCAGAGCATGCATGCATGGAAAAGACACAAAGAGAGGAGGCTGATCCACCTAACCGCTGAGAACGAGACTACATTAGTCCTGGTGGTGCGCGTTTTGGGTGGGGTGTGTAAGCAACACAACAAACAACAACGAACGGCAGAGCAGCAGACAGGAGATACAATCAGCGAGAGCACACACCCGCTCTTACACACCAACACGATGGTGGATGATGTGTTCAGCAGCACGAATACTGTACAGGGTATCGAGTGTCCCGACCTGTTCCTGCCCTGTGCTTCTCATGCACCACGCACTTTTTGAAAGAGCGCGGGCATCTACTACATGGCCTTCTTGCAGGCACAGCAGCGAAAACAAGGTATAGCCCCTCCCAATCTTACAAACAGCTCGCAACCATCTGCTACTCTGTCCTACATATAAAATAGGAGCACCGCCGTGGTGGCTTCCAATAGAAAATCTGTTTTGGGCCGAACATGAACATGTTTGTGAAGAAAGTGGTGAACTTGGTGCCATCAAACTGCAGCTACCTTCTTATGAAGCGACATTGTAATATGACATACAATCATAGCGTAGACAGAGAGTGGTTAGTTACACATCTATTTACTATCGTGATACTGTGATGGACCACATGTGCACGCCTCCTCCTTTGGGTGGACGCCTCTGACGTGAATAAACGGATCTACGACTGAGGTGCCGTTAGGATGCGCATGTTGAATAACGACTAGCTTTGATCACATGTGCCTGCTGAAAACAACTTCATGTACCCTGTCGAGCTGTCTTGTTTGAACACAAATCACACCCTACTTATTTCCTTTGAAACGCCCTGCACAGTTGCTGCCGTTCTGGGTGTGGGTTGGTGTGGGTCTGCTCGGGTGGCAGGATAATAGGCTTGTGCGTGGCGAGACAACGATCAACAGAGGGCAGGACGCCGTTTGTCGAACCCAACAGAGCACGAACAAACGTACATGCACCAACGCGTCATACTCCTGGAATACTTTGCTACCACTGACCTCGTACGCTGTCGCTCGCTCCGTCGCCAATCCCAGCCCTAATACTCCCGCCCCAATTGCCCCAACCAGCTGATCACTCACGAAAGTCCTCCTAGTCGCGCTCATGCCCATTATCGACTGCTGCTGCTGTTGACTCCGCAGCAAAGCCGGACGAGGATGCACAAAGGCATCTGCACCCTTGCGCGGGAGAAGAAGGGTAAGCGCCGATACGAAGAGCGTCATATACGAAACAGGAGCCATCTTGTAGCAAAAAAGGAGCGCACTCAGACAAACGGAGATGAAGTGTAGAATCACGGGGACAGCGTGCACAGCACGCAAGAGAGCAGATCACGCACCAGCGTCGGACAATAGACGGGGGGGGCACACGCGAGGGAGGGTGGCCAAGGGTGTGTGGGTAGGTAGGGGGCACCGATCAGCAAGATCCAACACCCGCCTCGCTGACTTGTCGGTGTGGGGCGCGTGCAGATCACTGCCACACCGCCTTGCTCCCCCGCCAGACACAAGGGCAACGACAGCGCCTCAAGCGAAGAATGTCACTGAGTATCGACTCTACCGTGACTCTGAACGATGGGATCATTATGCCACGTGAGAACTTGCGCATGGGGCTCGTAAACACCTTTTCAGTATACCGTGCATAACAGAGGGCGGGTAAACCAACCAGCCGACAAGCACGTTTTGCCTGCTGTATGAGTACTGCTGTGCACTGGCAGCAGCATCTGTATCGTCTGTTCTGCCACATCCTCCCATGGCTACCGGCGTTTCATTCCTCGATGATTCTGAATGCAGGACTTGGCCTTGGCACGTGGAGGAGCGCGGCGGGAGAAGTAGAAACTGCTGTGAAGGTATGACACACATGTTTCCGCGACGCTACGGCAGATTTTCAGCTTACGGCCAGTTGTTTCAAATCTGGCTTTGATTTCCTGGGAAGGCTGATGTTTGACAGCTCCTGCTGCTGCGGCTGCTGCTCTTGCTCCTGCGCTGCTGTACGCTTCAGACTGCGAGATTGGTTGGATAGGCTAGACTTGGCATATCCAAACGGCATATATACTTGGTTGATCGCATGGTGGCATTATCTTTCATGGATCCTGGGATGGCAGACAACGAATTTTTATGCAGTCTGTTGACCAATTGAAAAACGAACGCAAGAGCCAAGAAAATGACACGAGACCAACAAGACCGGTCGGAAGGCTGCTGAAACAACACAAATCGTTGATTCTCGCACAGGGCGGCAGTAGAGGCTGCTCTAAACAACATATCATGAGTGTACCTCCACACGCTCCGTCTGAAACTAAGATAAAATTTCACACCCCTCTAACTTCAAGTCGAAAGAGCCAGAACGGTATTTGTAGGCGCTCAAATATAATTGGTATTGCATTAGACACGTTCATTCTACTGGTATCATTGGGGGACACCCTGTGGCAGCGGGGTGTGTGTGTTGGTGCGCTCTAGTTCGCTTATTGGGGTGGTGATATCGAGGGTCGAAGTATGCATAGCGGCCTAAATAATCTCGGCAAATTAGACCCACACTCGTGTCTTGTACTGCTTGTTCTCACCGCCATCGACCCTAACCTCCTGAACTGCGGGTTACGGCTGACGACCCGAGGTTCGGGGTTTTACGGTCCGTGGCAGTGAGCACGGCTGTGACAAATGTTGGGTTAAGGCGCAGATGACGGACTGTTTCCACCGGAGACTGCTGCGACCTTCAATATTTCAGCTCCAGTAGCAAACCTGAACGTGCCAACACACATGACGCGTCTTCACGGTGTCCTCTACTGATGACAGTACAATGCACAAGATCTAATCTAAATGGCAGCAAGGTTGCTTTCTTGTGGTGATTTTGGGTAAAGTGTTTGCTCCCTCGGTGCCTTTCCACGGAGGCTACCGCGCCCTCCCACGGTTGTATGAGTTGTGTCTGGGGACATGTTAAAACCCAGGACCTATGTAGTCTAGATGACATAAAAGCTTGATTATACACACCGTGCTCCTTCCAGCGCTCAGGAGTATAGTGAAGTTGATAGATATCATACCGTAAACACATGGCTCTCTCTCGAGGTGCCCCGCACTTGGACCCCCAACAGCATAGCCCCCCCCCCCACCAGTTCTCCAGATCGAATCTTGAATCCAAATACCCCAAACAGCCCCCCGCTGCTTGAAAAATCATACGATCTTGAAGTCGTCCGTGATTAATCATCCGACAAATACAAAAACACAAATGGCCTCTTGAGAAACATTCTCTGCAACAAAACTGGCTACGCATTTGATACAAAGCGTCTCCATCAGTTTATCTGCGAACCCGATGTGTTCGCCCCTGTTTATAATCTCAAACCGTCCAACACAAATATTCATCCTCATAAACGTACCCAACAAGCATTCCGCTCTACATCGGAAAGGCGTCGGAACGGTGACGGACAAATCTGGAAAACCCAGTTTCAAAGAGTTCACACAAAATACTCAAAACAAAGCAAAGTTTAAACTTGTTGACCAATGGACAACGAGCGCGAAGGCTCCAACCAGTACTCGTCGAAACATGTCAATCCCTTCCTCCAAATCAGTGTCCAAGGACCAAATCATAAACGGCGTGCACATGCGAACCAGTGCCGTCGCTGTTGCCCAAGAGACGATAGAAAACACAAAACAGTCATGCATACAGCCCCCCTGTTGCAACATCTCCCAAAATATACAAATCTGTGTCTCCCTCCTTTCACTGGTTCTGGCACAAGACAATAAAATCAGTACCAATATCAATTCGCAACAGTGCCCCCGCTGAAACAATTCCCCGAAACATATATGTGCATCTGCCTGCGCTTTCTTCCTCTCCTTTTCAATCACCAGGACATATCAAAATATCAACGTGTATGAAACAGACCCCCAGCTAAAACACGCCCTGCATACACAAGATAAACATACGCATTCGCTAGTGTTGCGTCTGGAACCATGGCAACACATTTCCTCCCCCTGATTCTTGACGCAAAACACAGCAGAACGAGGAAACCGCAAAGAACATCACAACGAAACAACTTCAACTTCAACACAACTCCACAAAAGCACTCTGCTCTGCTGGTACTGAAACATGGTACACATTCACCCCCCATGGTTATTGACGGCAGAACAGCAGATTCTGTACGACAGTTGTCATTGGATTCCGCATGTCACACAAAGTTCGGGTCCAAATTAAGACTAGTCAAAACGCTAGAAAAACACAAACAAAACCACAAAACAAACGGGAATACCGTACACCGTTTTTGTGGAAGCAGAATGTTGAAAACAGTAAAAAAAATCTGAATAGTTGCGCCAAAAAAAATAAAACTTCTTCTCTCGAGCAATAAGCTGCAATCTGCAGAAAGAGTGCTGCAACTTTTTCGTGGCGAAGGTGTCTATCAAAGTTGCGCGCCAATCCACGTCAAGCTCCTACCACTACCACACACGTAGACCCCCTCTCCAGCTTGGATTGGAAGGCGCTGTTAGGGGTGCCAATCGGTCAAATTTCCTATAGGAAAAAATTTCAAGAAGTGACCTGGATCTTCCAGATTGAAAATCGCTCGAGCCAATCAAATCACATAGAACGCTCCTGAACAATGCTGCACCCAGCGGCGCTCGCCGCCTCGCGCTGTCTACTTTCGATCTACTCCTGCTCCTTTTCTACCAGCGCTTTCTGCGCGACGGCAACACCGCCCCTTTCGACCGCGCGCTGTGTGTGCGCTGCTCCGGCCGCGTCGGCAAAGGCCCGCCCCTCCCGCTCTATGTATTTGCGTTCGTTTTTCTTGAGGTTGCGACGAAATCGTTTTTTTCCTCCCGCGCCGAAGGCCGAGCGTTTGCGTTTTTTGGGGACCTCGACCGCGGTGCTTGGCGTGCTTGACTGGCCATTTTCAGACATGCGGTTCTCGCTGGTGGTTTGTGCGATTCTAGTTCGGTTTCTTGCGTTGTGTCGCTGAAAACCCGAGGCTGTGCGCTGCGGATCCGCTGTTCTAAGATCACCAAACGCGGCCACGAGCGTGAGCCTTCAAACCGAATTTCATAGGGGTTTCTGTGTCGTTCGCCCGCCCTTTGAACGTCAGTAGAAAACGAACCCGCAGTCACGTGTAGATGACCTGTATCCAGATGTGTGTAACGTATGAAGAGCCACATCGCTGCCTGGACGCAGGGACTCTTGAACAAACATACGGAGGGTAAAGTATACTTTGATCGGTATGATTTGAAGAGCTGAGCTGAGAACCAACAATCCGCGCGCCCCCCCCTTTTTTCCCAAAATCCTCGAATAGACCGGTCACTTTTTTGCCGTCAAAATCGGCCCGATTGGCACCCCTGACTGTGTCCACCCATATCTCGATGAATACTACATGAGTTGCCTTATGAATGGTATCTGGAAGGAGGTGATGCCATGGGCTATTGGGCACTGCCGAGCTTTGGCGCCGTGAGATGCCGAATGCGCCGGGAAAATAGTTGGTGCTGACGCACGTCCGTCAACGCCCCCGTGCCGTTAGTTCAAGTTCGGTATTTTTGACCGCCACGGGGTTGGTTTTCCACCGATAACTTGCAGAAGGAGAAAGCAACAGGAAAAGCAAGGCCACTCGGCGGGAGTTAGCTCTCTGCTCCATCTTCCATGCCCAAGGTTTGGTGACGTGGGATATCGAGCGCGTCGTGAAAAACGTTTTGGTTGGCCCCAAAATACCCATGCCAGAGAGCGGTTGGTTCAAGTTTGCGGGGATTGTGTGCTCATGGTTTGATTTTCCAACGATAACTTTTCGAAGGAGGAGGCAACAGCAACAGCAACAGCAATGCCACTCCGAGGGAGGTAGTTCTACCCAGCATTGTTCTGGTACCAGGTTAGTTGCCGTGGGGTATCGTGAGTGGGGAGAAAGAAAGGTTGCAACTTCCCTCTTCCGCACGCTCTGGTCTGTTCTTCGCGGTGTGGTATTGAAGGGTGTGCCTGCTTCTCGCCGTTGCTAAAATCAAAAAATGGATCACGCCTAAGCATTCCGCCAGTCCCGTGCACAAAGCTCTCTTCGTCCCATGTAGAATGTGCACCAAAAGCTCCATTGACAAAAGTCTCAAAAGGACTTGCAGTTGTTTTTGCAACTTTTGCTCCCACAAGAAGCCGTCGCACAAGTCAATCCGTTGTCTCTCGGAGGCGATCCCTGCATGCTTATCTCATCTTCTGCGCGACGGGAAGCGTGCGGTCGCTGTGGGGGGCACGGGACGGGGGGACTTGGGAGGGGGGGCAGACAAGGGGTAGACCCACCCCGCTCGCGCCTTCTCGTCCCCGCTCGCTCTGTCGTTGCCGCCGTTAAGCACGTCGATGCTGCCGATATGCACGTCGATGCCGGTGGCGCTGCTGCCCCCACCTTCGCTCGGGCCGATGCCGTCGCTCCCGTCTCTGCAGCTCCCAGTGGCGCCGCTGCCGCCGCCGGTGCTGATGCCGTTCCTCCGTTGCTGCTGAAACGGTCAGTGGGCGAGAGCTGCGACGAACAGCTTACCCCCCACACACATACTCTCCAGATCAGTTCTTGTATCCAAATACCCCAAAGATAAAGTATCAAGAAAGAGACAGCGTCAGACGGCGTTGCCTTCCATCCCCTAAGCAAGTCATTTTCCTGGTGTCTGTCGATCTGTAGAGTACAGCAGCAGCACACGAAGAATTAATTCCTGTGTGTGACCTTCCCCTTGTGTGACCTCGCCTGGTGCGTCCAGAATTGTACCACAAGGTGCAAAAACAGACGTCCAAGAAAGAGTCAAGACAAAACAAAAATGCATTGTACATACTGCCGTAATCTACTAACGACACACGACTTTGTGTGAACTTTTAACTATTTATTTCAAACTACAAATTATGTTGAACCGAACCGCTGCATGTGCCGTTCCCCAACTCTACTCCGTTCTCATGCGAGGAGCAGTGCGCTCTCAAGGCAGGGTATCTACACATCGATTGCGGTGAGCATTCCAGTAGTTAGGTCGTTCTTCTGCAGAATCGCTCGCACGAGAGCGCTTGTTGAGAGAACGAGCCGTGAGCCCTCACAAAGTACTGGCTTCTTTAGCGGCACATGTACATTGTTTGTTCACCCAACACGTTTCTGATTATTTTCCGTCGCCAAGGATACGGGGTTCTAACGAAGACCTACTGTACTTATACCCATAGCTCATTCAAAAGGGACATATTCGTTTTTGTCCATCGATTCTGGGCGTCCGTACGCAATATTACTTTGCCTAGAGAAGGCTTACGGAAAGGCGCCACGAGTTCGCAAAATGCGACACTTCGGCGAGCGTTGCGCTTGTTTGGAACGGTCTCACGAGGGCCGACTCGTTGGATACCTGTAAAGAAACACGGTTTTACACTCATGTATTTCGGCATGTGCAGGGCCCCTGCGAATAGTTGGACACAGGCGAGTGATATTCTACGTCTATTCGAAATTGTAACAAACCGTATACCCCGACACGGAAAAAAACATCCCGTCCGTCCATTGCTTGTCTTTTTGACTCAAAGCGTTCGCGTTGACGACACGAGGGAATGTCACATACAGCAGTATGCACATGCTGTGATTTTGACGGTCAGGCTTTGATCCAGCTGTATGTAGTTTCGCTGATCCTGCGTTGTACAGAGGTAGATATTTGGTCGGCGAAACATCCACTCTCACCCCCTGGTGACTGCTGAAGAACGTTGGGAGCAAATGCAGTCCGCGAGTGAGAGACTAGCTGCGCTCAGACAACACCCGTCCCTTCACGCGACTTGCAGCTTGGTGCTACGGAAATCAAGTCGAGGTTGGCAAAGCGCTTGCAGACGCATTCAAAGAGGACAACATCATCAGGGAAAATGTTTTCATCACGACTAAGGTGGGCACTCGCGGTTTTTGATTGAAGATGTGCGAGAAGAATGAAACCCAAGCTAGTTAAACATGTAATTGCAAGGTCTCGTTCAACTCTTTCTCCCCCATCGTGTGTGAGTTTGTATACCTTTCGTTTTCCGCGGACAGCTATGGAACACGTTTCACCGGCCCGAGCTGCTCAAGAAGAACTTGGACACGTGCCTGAAAGATCTCGGGCTCCCGTACGTCGATTGTGTGCAGCTACACTATTCGTTCGCGATGGTTCCCTGCGCAGATGAGACGTGAGTTTGAACTCAACATTCGTAAGATCTGTGCATTTAACACTCCAAAGAACTTCAACAGTTTGTCGATTCCTTAGCCCTCGTAGCCGCAGATTGTTTTCGGTTGCCGTTTTCAGGTGTCGTTGTTCTGTGGGTCTCTTGAACTTTGCATCGCAGAGATTTTGACTTGCATTTCTAACTCGGTTTCACCGCCAACATTGGTAAAACTGTAGTCTATATCAGAGCTACGCGAGACTGTCAATATCTGGCGAAAAGTCGCACTCAGCGAGGGTCATGGCATACGCCGCACAAGTAACGGCGGTAGAAGCAGTAGTCATTTCCGATTGATTCGTTGGGATGTGAAGATTTGGTAGCAATCGCAACCTCGACCAACTGAAAATCTCCAACGGCGTGAGCCAATTCGTGTGGTGCAACACTTTAGTTTCAGCCCCTAACTGTTGGCACAACGAAAGCAGACACAGCGCGGGGGGAGTTGGCTGTATCGAACCCGTTCGTCCAAAAACGTTGGCGTCCAGATCCTGAACCAGCTAATGTGTGTTATCCAGCCATCAGGAATTCTAGAACAGCGTGGCCCGTTTGTGTTGAAGCTAGAGTTTCGTGTTACGGAACGATCCTTACCTTACAGTCTCACAAGGTTGGCAGTTGTAGACGCACGAGAAGACTCCTGTCGGGGGTTGGCGTCTCTAGCCCTTACGTCTTGATTCAAAAGGTGGTCGCCGAGAGCGTAGACCGATACGCGCTGCAATCATTATCGACAACAACAAGTAGCGCTCTTTGCTTCAAGTTGTGGATGATCACCAGTTTTTTCTGACGACGACCGAAGTCCTGGCGGTAGCAATTATCAGACGGCAACAAGAGACGCGCCACCTGACGTAGCCTGGGATACCTTTTCTTTGCCCATGCTTCTGAATCTGCATGCTGTTTCGCACGCCGTTCTCACGATTGTCGATGCCTACAGCAGTAGCGTGTACAACGTCATGTTGCTCCACAATTTTGTGCCGTTTCGACTTGATTTTAGAGAGGAGGCCAAGAACATACTCGTTCCCTCTGCGGACAGCAAGGTGTTGCCTGTCTGAAGAATTCTTTTCATTTCATTTGAAGTGGGCAGGAAGAGGTTACACGATGGTTCCTATATTTTTGCCCGATGCTTGTTCTTGTCCAGGGTTTTGGTGCCTCGGCACGCTAACGGGGATGCACACCTGGACGACGAAGTTGACCTTAAGCAAACGTGGAAGGCAGTGAGTGTTGGGACGCCGATCCACTGCTAGTGATATGGTCGGCCAAACCGTCCCCGCGGAATTGATTGGCGTCCTACCAATTAATGAAAACGATTGTGCGGCCGGCCGCCAGTGCCCCGCCGTGTAGGTTCAAAACAATGTTTTCCCGCACGAACGTATTTTTCTTCCTTGCGAGGATTCCCTCCCTTACCAATCGTAGTACACCGGAACCCACGTGCTGAAACACAGCAACCTGGTGTGCGGGATATTGTGTAGGTCTGACTGATGCTATGTGATATACGTGTACTGGTTGAGGGCTGAACAGCCAATCTCGCACAAGCCCCATTTCTTTCTTGTAGACATTGTGCACGACATTCTGGTGAAAGTTGTCACTGTTTGTGTTGAACTGATTGCCTTCTCCGCATGTAGATGGAGGGGTTCGTCGAGAGTGGACTTGCGAAGACGCTCGGCGTGAGCAACTTTACGAAGGTGAGGCATCCAATTGCTTGAAAGTGGAAAGAGACCTTGATATGATGATTGCTTGAAGGAGGAAAAGAGACCTGGATCTGAAAGTGGAATTACGAGGCGGTTTAAGACACTTGGGACGGGTGGCACAAACGAGATCAAGGCGTATACCGATGCCGTTTTCTTAGGAAAGTAGGAATAAGCATTCAAGCGGTAGGAGGCGCAAGCAAAGTTGTAGATGATCACGAAAACGTGGCGTCGGTGGATGGTGGGAAGAAAATATTTTCTTAACCTCTACTGAGCTTTCACCCAGATTTGTTGTCGCCAATGATCACCCCATCCTGGAGAGCCTACATTTGAATGGACGCACACTCGTGCGTTATCCGTCCCCGATTATTAACAACAGGAGGAGCTCGCCTACGTCATGGAAGATGCGAACATCATGCCCTCGGTGCTGCAAGTCGAGGTAGGCTGTGACACGTGCTGAAACCCTTGATGGCCAAAAATACCTTGTTGGCCAGAAATTACCTCCCAAGGTAACCCTCTGTGGCAGTTGGAACATAGGTGCCCTCATTCTGCACACGTGCCGGTCGCCATATAGAATGCGTTTCCTGTATGTGAGGAGCCGCCGTGTCTTTGGTTGGGGCAGCGCTTCAGGCGTTTCATGTGTTCATGAGATAATTTTTACAATCGATGCACCGTCCGTGCAGCGTGGGGCAAGAGGCGCTGTAATGTACGAGAAATATATACTACGAACACGCAGCAGGTGTCTTGCTGAGTCTGGCGGGGCTCTACTGAGTCGAGCAGAGCTGTGCATGAACCAGAGAGAGGTAATTTTTATTCGAGGACGGCGTTTCTCGGCAGATATTCTGATAGTGTTCAGCTGGAATGCACAACGCTGACTACTCGAACAAAAATATGCAAGGCCTGCCTGAGATGGAGGTGATGTAAAACTAGTTGGCAGCAACAACAGCAGTTGATTTCGATGCTGAATGTACAGAGAATATGGATGTTGCACTGTATTTCCACAAATCGGCTACGGATGCTATGTTGCTGGTTGTATTCCTTGGTCCTCTGTTCGAAAGTCGATTGCAATCTTCGTCACTTGGGTACACCCTTGTTCGCTTTGTGCATCTACAGCAGAAATTAATCGTAAATCGCCGAGGATAGATACGGTAAGATTCAATTGCAGAGAGAGAGCAGAGGCTGTAGCATCGTGAACGTGTTACGTTCTTTTCTCGTCTACAGACCGTAGAAATTCACCACCGGTCTCACTCGGTTACTCCCACGGTCATGTTCATGCCACAGATACACCCGTATCTTCCCAACACGGAGCTTCTCCTTTGGTGCAAAGAGAAAAACATACATGTCACAGCGTATGCGCCCCTGGGAAACGTGAACAAGGAGTTTGCATCCTGTCTTGATGACCCCGTCATCATCGAGATCGCGGAGAGAATGACCAAGAGTCCTGCGCAGGTGATGTACAATACACCCACCCGATTCAATCGCATAGAACCGACAACGATCCGCGTGGAACTGCTACTGCAAGTAGTGTTTGGCTATCGCATGAGCATCTGCACGTTCTGTTCCTCTCGCTGGGAACATCGGTACTCGGCATGTTCTGACGTTGGAAGCGATGTACTTTGTATCACTGACGACTAAAGGTGGCCCCAACAACGAAATTCCTAGCTGAATTTGACGAAGCTTTGAAGAGCTTTGGATTCCTCAGCGAATCCAGATGTAGTCCATTGATACGTGTTTGTCGATTTCTGCTGAACTCAGTTTTGAAATAATGAATGCGTGGGCCAGGTTATTATTCGGTGGCATCTCCAGCGTGGCGTAACTGTGATCCCCAAGTCTGTCACACCTGCAAGGATCTTGGCTAATAAGGTGAGGGTCTCGTGAAAAGGCGCAGCACCCTTTGACGGGTATCGTCGTTTTCATGAAGCGCATTCTCCACGTGAAAAGTAGCTTGGTTAGATTTTGGGTTTAAAGGTGGGGAGGCCGGCTGACAGCAGTTGCCATGTCGTTTGAAAAGCGACGAACCGCGTCTTGTGTTCAATTCAAGTAAGTGCCCCCCCCTTGTTAAAAAACTTGTCAAATAACGGTGTGTAATGTAACACCTGGATCGCATTCGTCCATGCACTTCTATCCATCCAGGACGTTTATGACTTCGACCTCTCGAATGAGGACATGGCTGCAATCGACAAGCTTGGCGAGCGCAACTTGCGGATGGTGAGATACGGTTGGTCTGTGTGAGATGTGTCTGTCGTCTTTCGCGCTGTACTTCCCTTTTTGTGCGCCCTTCCTTTGTGGTGTGGTGTGTTTGTGTTCGTCGTATGTATTCTGGCGCCAGTCTACACACCTTTCGGCGAATGTGTAATGCATCAGCGGGGGTCGTACGGGAGGAAGTTCAAATTGAAGCTTCTATGTGATATTTTTTTGTTTCAATCCCCCGACGTTTCCTCCTGCGCGGTGCTTGCCGTAGGTTGTTATGGGGAGTAGGATTTAGCAGCCCGTTTTCTGTATACTTACGAAGTACCGCTTTTGTTCTATAGAGAGAGAATCAAACTCACAACCCGCTACTCACTAGATCGCCGGAGTGACCGGCATTGGGATGCAGAAGGGTTTAGAGAGAAATTCTCGCGCTGTCCCGCGCTGGAGTGATGTATGCGCAGTTTATGCGAACCCCTTTGGTCACCGTCCGTTGGTTCATAACTCTCCATGAAACAGTGCAACTGGAAGTACAGGCCCGGTGGAGGACGCCTCTACGAGGGCGAGACCAGCGCCTATCCTGAGAAATAGCCGAGCATGTCGTCAAATACAATGGGGTCGACCCACTTCGTTCTTATGACGGTAGACATTCGCTTGGGCGTGAATTGAGAAGCGTTCAGGTTGGACAGCGGGCCTCGTAATGCTTTTAGTTTCGGCCGGTTGTGTTTCTGTGAGAACATCTCGTTGACCGAGCCTGGGGTCATTTAGGGATTGAAGTTGTCGAAGCAAGACTCGAACATCATGGGAAACACTATCGAAAAGGATCAGGGGAATCGCGGAAAAAGCGGGAAATACGTGCAATTACTGGTTCACTACAAAAGGCACTTGAGACACTGCGATTCTCGTTTGAAGTAACATGAACGCCACTATCCAAGGGAAGCCTGGTTTGCGTTCCCCATTGAAAATTGGGGTTCAGTGTTGGTGTCTGAGAGTGTAGCCCGTGCGACACACCACAGATTAGTGGTCCGTCATTTTCCAAACGACCCTTGTATCATCGAGATCGGTGAGCTACACGCTGGATTGTTGAAGCTGCTGTCTGTGCGGTCCGATTTTCAAACGCTTCAAGCACCTGTGCTTCTGGCTAGACCTACACATGTATGACTGCAGGCAGTCATATCGACTGTGGCGACGAGAAAAGAACATAAGAGGGAAGAGCTGCGCTGAAGTTCGCGGCCCCACAATCTCACATAGGCGCTGATTCGCCGTTGCAAGGGTGCTTGAAGCGTTACAAATCGGACCGCACAGCAGCTTCAACAATCCATCTTGCAGCGCACCGATCTCGATGATAGACGGATCTCTTGAAAAATCATGGACCGCTAATCTGTGGTGTATATCGCAAGGGCTACAATCACACCGGTCCCCCCGGTGGTCTAGTGAGTGTCCTCGCAGCCTACTAAGGGCCAGGTCATGGGGCTCGAGTCTCGGCATGTGAGTTTTTTGCTGCCCTGCTCGCGATAAAAATGTCTCAGACAAGCGCTGCAGGAGGAAGGCGGGGGCAAATAGAAGATAAAAGAACCCCCCCCCAGCGTTGGTACCCCCTCCTGTGTGACTCCGGACAATGCGTCTAGCTAGTTGTAGTGTACCAAGTACGCTAAGAAGGGTAAGTGCACATACGCGGCAAACGTGTGGTGTGCACCGAAGAGGAGTAAGCAGGCGGCGCCAGAGATGGGGGGGTGTAGTCATAGTCGTGCATGCCGTAGTCGTTTGACATTGACCTCGCATCCCTACAAGGCCGGGACGGAGCACGCCGGGTTCTCACCGGACCAGGCTCTCACATCACCAAGCGCGAAGCGCCGTGAAATATTCGGCGAGTCGCATGAAGGGTGCGCTGCATCCTGCGAAGGGTGTTCGGCATCTTGTGCTTACTTCCTTGCGGACGGATGACAGCTGCGTAGAATTAATTAATTTTCTGGTCCTTTCACTTCCAGAGACAGTTATACGCACTGCGTAACTGCCTCCAGGGTGCTTGACGATTTTAACACAACGTGGTGCGATCATCCTCCTTGCGCGGAGTAAGGGTTCTTCACCCCGCACAACATGATGTACTCGACCACCATTATGGTTACCGCCAAAAAAACACGGAGGTAAAAAAAAAACGGTAACCTGGTTGCCGAGTTCACGAAGTGAACTGGCCTGTTTTACAACGTCGTTGCCAAGCGACGAAAACCCAACCCCGATGGCAAACACCGATGGGGGCGCTTGTTTTACAACGTCGTTGCCAAGAGACGAAAACCCAACCCCGATGGCAAACACCGGCGGGGGGCGACTTGTTTTACAATTTCGTTGGCAACCGACGAAAACCCAACGCCGACGGTAAACACTTGAGGGGGGGGAGACAGAGATGAGACGAAAAAAACAAAAAACTCAAACACTTAAAGTACACGAGGGAGCGTGCGCGGACTGTTAATTTGCGATGGCAGTTTCGTACTGGAGGTAGACTTTGAAAATTGAGACATGCACGCGTTTCCTGGATTTTTGAAGAGGAAACCTGCCATCCCCACCGCGGCTTTGAGATGTTTTTGTGACAGAATTCCAGTCTCAAAAGACTACAGTATCATGCATTTTGTTGTTTGAGAGAAAAGTTGTGACAGGTCTGGGACTGATTTTCTCCACGCCCATGAAGTCCCAGGGGGGTTGTTCTTGGCGGTGACCTTGTGTGACCGCAATCTCACGTAGCCCGAAGTCTTACCGCTCGTCCCGTCGAGTTGACGGAATCGCGGCAGCTGCAGTGCAACACAAGGTTCAAATCAAGTGATTTCCGAGCACTGTATAAGAACCAAGTCAACTTTCGTCAGGCAGGATGAGAGATAAAATATACACAGGGATTTTGAAAGATGCAACGCTGCTGGTTTGTAGCCACGCAGCTAGAGAATCAGGCACCTCGAGCGCTGCAGAGCGCTGTGGACGCAGCGCACCTGGGAAGTAGTAATTCACGGTGGGAAGCCGCCTTTGGATATCTGCACGTCTTAAGACATGGTGGATTGGGGTTCCTATCTGCCTGGTTGGCATGCTGGCTGGGGAGAGAAACACTGATGGACAGAAAGCGATTCGTGTGAAATATTTTACCCGGTTACCATCACCAAGAAGGAGGTGAATCGACCAGCCCCCCGAGACCACGGGAGGAGGATTCTGGTCGTAAGGCCTGCTTGACTTCAGGCATGTCTACAGCTAAGATCGGGCAGGGGTCATGGACAAATTATCGTGACGACAGCAGCACCACTGACTGCTTCAATTGAAACCCAACCCCAAGTTCACTTCGCTAATCTTGACAATGACTGTTTACGAGCGCGGTCCCGACCGGCGCTGAAGAAAAGCCCCGTTGTCATGTCTTTGTCACAAAACGGTACCAGCCGCCCATCAAATTAAAAACAACCGTTCTTCCTTGGCATGGCAGCTCATCCGGTACAGAAGATAGAAACCAAAAATGGTCTTGCCGATTCCCGGGGTGCCTGGCAACAAATTCCGCAATTAACCGCTACTGGCACCACCTGTGGAAGGTGCTGGCCCGGGCCGGTATCCCCGCGGAGATGATCGCCGTCATCCGCAAGTTCCACGTCGGAATGCGGGCCCGGGTCCGCATGAACGATGGGGAGCTATCGGACTGGTTCTCGGTCACGCAGGGACTGCGACAAGGGTGCTCAATGTCCCCACTGCTGTTCAACGTCTTCTTCGCCGGGCCTCTCGAGGTCATTGTCACACGGTTCAGCAAGGATGAGGTTATCATGCGGGACCTAGTATACCTGAAGGAGGAGGAAGGGGGGGGGAGGACATTGCTGGACCGAGTTCGGAGGGCGGTGTGGGGGATGCTATATGCCGACGATGCCGGCGTTGTGTCGAAGTCCGCCGACGGCCTGGCGAGGATGATGACCATTATCGTGGAGGTGTCCCGGGAGTTCGGGCTGACGGTGTCGGAGAGAAAGACGGAGACATTGGTGATGCGGGTGAAGGAGAAACAGCGACCGCCGCCGACGCCACCGCCGTCGCTGACCATCGAAGCAGCGGGGCAAAGGTACGCACAGACGACCGAGTTCCGATACCTGGGCGGCCTCATCAACGAGCAGGGCGACCTCACCCGAGAGATCAACCACAGGAGCAAAGCAGCGTGGGCGTGCATTAGGCGATACGCCACGGAGCTCTTCGACCGACCGGGAGCACCGTTTCGCCTCAAGGCCCGCCTACTCCAGGCGGAGGCAGTGGCGGCACTGCTATACGGCTGCATGACATGGTCCCCACGCCGCGACCACTACCGGCTGCTGCAGACGACACACCACCGTCTGCTTCTGCGAGTTATCGGCTACCGGCGCAAACGAGGCACCTACCGGCAGCTGTCATACGCCCAGGCGCTGAAGAGGGTCGGCTGCCAGAGCGTGGAGGCCACTGTCCGTCAACGGCGCCTGCTCTTTGCGGGGGCCGTGGCAAGACAGCCAGACGGGCGGCTTCCGAAACGGCTGATGTTCGGCGAGTTGGTGGGAGGGGAGAACCCGGGCCGGGGAAGCCCGGAGCAGAACTGGCTGATATGCCTGAAGGAAGACCTGAAGATGTTCGAAGCCAGACACGGCTCCACGCCCGACAAGCGGAGCTTCTTCGGAATCCCGAAGCCAGACTGGGACGAGGCGGCGAAGGTGGAGGGGGGGGTACCGTGGCACGCGGGGGTGCTACAGGGAGCTGAGAGGTTTATGGCCTCTTGGCACAAGGGCGAGGAGAAGGCCAGCCGACAACGAGCCATCAAACGAGGAGACAGCGGGCCCAAAAATAGTCTAGATACGGCACCAATCAACGGGGCGGGAGGGGGGCGGGAGGAAACGGCGCGGGAAGAAAGCAAGCGAGAAGAGACCGACCGCGTGACGTGACATGTTGCGGTTGAATTTCAGCGACTAGTTTTTCTGTTGCCCTCTCCCCCGTTTGCTGTCGCGTTCAGACTGTCTCTACGGATATCCCTGTCTCTGTGCGAGTTTATTTATGTCCTCGTCTGTCTTTGGTTTATTTCGTTTTTGTTTTGTTTTTTTACTGGCACGTACTGCTGACCCTGGGGTCCTTCCGGAAGGCTAACCCCCAGGCTGGCGGTGCGCACGTTCCACTATTTATTTATTGATTTGATTCTGATTCTTTCGTTTTCTTGTATTTCATCGCTCTGCCAACCCTTGGGGTCCATTTTATTTTGGAATACCTTGTCTACATACGTTAGCCTGTGACCACGGAAATTGACCGAGTCAAGTGCTGGATCAGTACGGAGAGATTGAGACCGAAGGAGGAACTGGATAGAGAGACCGGGATGGTTTTTAATGCGAAGACAACAACAACAACCACCCAGGATGAAAACTGAAAGGACAGACAAGTTTAAGAGAGGGACCGGCAGATAAGCAGATGTGGGTTAAATGAAAAAGAAATGGGCGGGGCAGGGCAAGCGTCAGGGTCGGGCGTTGCATTAGGGGAACGTTCAGCAAAACTCAGGAACACAGCAGCACCAGCAAAGACGTTGGGCGATTACAACTGTGGGACAATTCTCGGCGTGCCGAGCCTTGCGAAACCGATCTGATGCGCAGAAAAACAGGAATAATTTGTTTCATAGGGCAAAGGAGGAAAGCCGGTCAAACGGGACAGCCACAAAGGTGGAAATCTGGGAGGGTGCGGCGTGAGCACTGAAAATAATGTATCTTTTGCTTTCTGACATTGGAAACGCTTGCTGACCCATATCGATACTTGGTACTCACCTCACGGACTGCAACTGATTGCAACAGCACCTTCGGGGCTGTGCGCGTTTCACACCGTGAGCTTTTCGGAGCCAAGTGTGAGCAGTACCGGTACGATATCCAACTTCACAACCCTGTTGGACGCATACTGCCCGCCCGTGCTTCCCCAAGCTTTGTGTAGTGAGATGTGACTTCCCCTTTCTTTAGGTCCAACACCATTGTGCTGTGTGGAAATCTCCACAGGTGCAGGTTGTTGATATGTTCCATTGTTCTCTTTCTGTTGATGAACGCTTTCCAAGCCAGCTCACAAGATCCGAAGCACACGCGATCACCGGATCGTACGCACACTGAACACAAGGGAACATTCCTCGGCACAATGCCCTTACTTTGCAAACCGTCAAGTCATCGCATAAGACGACGCCAAATAACTACTATCAACCACGATCAACTTTACGTCAAGGTCAACCACACAAGGAGAATGCTCCAGATCGTAGCATTTCGGAAATCGTTGGCCATGGCAGGCAATGCAGGCTCTGGCTACGTTGGACCATAAAAACGCAAAGCGAATCATTGGCGGAATGTTAACAGCGCATACATGGGGATGGCAGAACAATTAAGAACAAAACCATGTCGCGTTGAAAAATCGGAAAAAGGGGAGCGAAACATTTCGGCGACCGACCGCCGTGTGGCGGACGGCGGCGGAAAAAGTACGCAACACGAAGGCGAAAGCTCGTCAAAATGAAAGGAATTGAGAAGCTGGAGCTGAAAACATAAAGGAACAATACGTAGCCAGTCTTCAAGCCAATCGGGGGGGCGAGATAGAAACTTACCTAAGCAATAGCCAGTCTCAAGAAACGATCGAGCTCGCGAGCCACAAATGTGTATAACATACACACAGACATACACACAATTCATATGCACAAGCACATAAAACAAACACAACCTTCCTATCAGCCGGAGGTGGCACTATCCATGCCACATGATTCGTCTACATTCCGCAATATACCTCGCATGAAGGGACTAGGTCGCAGCTATGGTCACCAAGATCACAAACAACTCCCAAAGGTGTCGTGTAGTCCATGGACAAGAGAGTCATATGCCCTCCGTTGACCCCCTAGGACAGCCTCCCCAGGGTGTGAGGGGGGAAGCTAGGCCCCTAAGCCCTCATCGAAGGGGACAGAAGGGAAGACAAGAGAGGAGAGTATCTTATGTTCAGATATCAGCAGTGACCATATGGGACAACAAGGGCGTACCATTAACATCCCCAACTGCAATATTTGGGTCCCTAACAGAGCTCTGTCCACAACGCCGCCGACAAGCTTGACAACAAACTCGGCTCTGAGTACAAGCCAAAAACACGGATAAAGTGCGAGCATTGAAAAATATCTCGCCATGAACGTTCAAATCGCCTGAGCAACAACAAGCAAACAGCCTTGTAGGCAAAAGCAGATGGAAATCTCACACATGCGTCAAGTCCCAAAAGTATCGTACGGATTGATGATGTCACGTGCTGTCACGAACCCCCTCATCGTCGATGCAAACCTCCCACACTACGTTGTACGCAATTATTCTCGTTAATACGTAGGCGCAGATATCTCGCCAGCCTATAACACAGGTGTCAGGCAAGTAGCTACCAAAACACCAACAACGGAAAGGCATACTCGATTGGGCGTCAAGCACGATCCCAAGTCGAAATCAGCAAAGTAGAAAATGTACCCCGGAACAGCAGGCACGCTCTACAAGCGCTGTGGACAGAGCTATGCTAGCCGCCCAGGCATGGTGGTTGGAGGTGTTGATGATATCCCCTTGTTATCCCATATGGGGGACCTCTGTTGATGTCTGCATAAAATCATATTCTCCTTCTTGTCTTTCCGACTCCCTCTTTGGGGGCTTTGGGGCTTAGCTTCCCCCCTCACCCCCTGGGGAGGCTGTCCTAGGAGCAACGGAGGGCGTATGGCTCTCTTGTCCATAATTCTTAAGAATTCAGGTTGACTGGGTAGCCGTGAGCTGTTTGTTAATCCAGAAAAATTTCGAGCGTTCAAGTGGCAGAGGCAACTAAATCGGATGTGCACATCGACGAGCGGACTCCGAATGTTTTTCACCGCTCGTTCAGCCAAGTTGACAACAAATCGTCCGGCCATTCTTGCGCGTCAGGCTTGGTGCTTTGCGTGCAAGTTCTGCATGAACCTTAGATTTGCGGGGTTTATTTTTGGGGGCGGTGCGAGCATCTCTGGCCAAGCATGGCTCTGCTATTACTTTGCTTCTGTTAGTGCTTAACGTGGTGTCATGGTCGAGCATGCATGGCTTTACCCTTGTCTGCAAACGTTTCTTGCGTGTTCTCGATTGTATCCAGGTGCGTCGATTCATGGCGCGCGATGGTGGGGTTAGGGTTAGCGTGTATATTGTGTGGGGCGAGCTCCCGTGTGTAATACGATGTGCGGGGCTAGCATTTGTTCGAGGCCACTCGCGAATTCAACTAGTGCCTGTGGGTGTTTCGCATGTACTGAGTGATTTGTTATTGTTAAGGGACAATTTTGACTGCGTTGTGCGACTTGGACGGATGATGCAGTATGCGAATTTCGTTGGCATCAACCTGCCGTTCGTGGATGTCATGATATCTTTCAGACCGATTGTTGCTCATGTGCTTCAGGTTTGGACTGTTCGTCCGAGAAACACCAGGAATGACGATGCTGTAATCTCTAAACAAGGCTCGGCGTGATTTACTGTGCGATCCGTAAATATTAGTGCTTACCTAGGCCGTATCTCTGAAAGCGGTTTGGTGTGATAGGGCATACATGTTCGCTACATACTAACGACCCAAGCGCTTACCTGATGAACGCTCCATCGATCTGGGTGTTGCTGCTTGGTCTTGGAGTGCCTGCTGTGTCGGGGTACATTTTCTACTTTGCTAATTTTGATTTGCGATAATCCTTGAGGCCAAAATGAGCATATATTATCGTTTTTGGTTTTTTGGCACTTCTTACCTGACTTAGGTGTTTCAGGCTGTCGATATATCTACGAATACGAACTATCAAGAGTACCTGCGTAGCGTGCGCGTTTTCGACCTCGATGAGGGGGTTTGCGATGGTACGTAACATTGCTGGTCAACATTCCGTTGGATACTTTTGGAACTTAACGTTTGTGTAAGTTTTCCGTCCGCTTTTGCGGACAAGGCTGNCGATGAGGGGGTTTGCGATGGTACGTAACATTGCTGGTCAAGGAACTTAACGTTTGTGTAAGTTTTCCGTCCGCTTTTGCGGACAAGGCTGTTACCCTTGCTATTGCGTAGGGGATTTGACCGTTCAGATCAAGTTATCATTCAATGCTCGCACTTTATCCGCGTTCTCGGCTTGTAGTTAGAGCCGAGTTTGTTATCAAGCTCATCGGGTTCTACTTAGAAGTAGCGATGCGCTTTGGGGGCGTTGTTGACAGAGCTATGCTAGGGGCCCAAGTATGGGAATGATGATGGTATCCCTTTGTTGTCCCATATGGGGGGCCTCTATTGGTGTCGACATACAATAATACTCTCCTATCTTGTCTTCCCTTCTACCCCCTTCTATGGGGGCTTGGGGGCCTAGCCTCCCCCCTCACACCCTGGGGATGCTGCCCTAGGGGATCAGCGGATGATCTTGACAGGTCCAGGGAAGCGAATGAAGAGCATGTGTGGAGTTCGATTATGTCCGGGGATTTTCCCGAACCACCATAGAGCGTGTTGAGCTTTGTATCCGAAGTGTGCGCCAACAGGCAGCACGGTGTTGCAAAAACGGCGGGCTCAAGCATTGTGGGACCATATTCGTACCCAGGCGACGAGGACCCTCGTCTTGGATGCGAAAAAGTTCACGTTCCGCTGCGTCAATACGAATGCGACGATACAGACGGTCGGTCTGCCGGTGTTGGATTCAGCATCTGCGTGGGCCTTGAAAGTTAATTTCACCTCATCGGATTGTAGCCGTAGAGATTTATTTCTACACCCATGCCCCAGTGCCGGCCGTTAGGATAAACGGATTATCTGTGTAAGACATCAGACAGGTTCGATTTCCGTAGCTTTAGGAGGAGATCGTGAGTGCGTTACCGATCGTGCCCCAGGCGATATGGCCGGCAGCACTTCGACAGACCGAAAGCGCTATTCCGACTCAAGATCCGCCTGCTCCAGACGGAGGCGATGGAGGCACTGCTGTACGGCTGCATGACATGTTCACCACTCAGCGGCCACTATCAGACGCTGCCGTCGTTACACCACCGACGGCTCCTTTGAGTTATCGGATACAAGCGCAAGAAAGCCACCTACCGGCAGCTCTCTTACGCCTAGACGCTGAAGAGGGTCAAATGCCAGAGCGTTGAAGCCACGATCCGACAACCACACCTTTTGTTCGCGGGCGCATTGGCAAGGCAGCCGGACGGACGACTACCGAAACGACTGATACTCGGCGAACTGGCGGGGGGGTAGCAGCGCCGTAGGAGGGGACAGGAACAGAACTGGCCGAAGTGTGCACTCGACGACCTAAAGGCATTCGAGGCCGACCACGGGTCTACGAAAACCGATCCATGTTGTTTCGGAATCCCGGTACCGAAAGACACGGCACCGAAGTTATGTGGACGGAAGCCGCGAAGGTGGAGGGGGCAGCACCCTGGCATACGGCGGTGCTGCAGGGAGCTGAGAGGTTAATGACCCCATGGCCCAAGAAGGAAGAAGAGGCCAGCCCACGACGAGCGCTCAAACGAAACCACGAACCAACAACCAATGGGGCGGGAGAGGGGCAGCAGACAGACGAGACGGCGAGGGAAGAAAGCAAACGAGAAGAGACGGACCGAGTGGCGCGATACGTGCCGGATTGAATCTCTTTTTCCTCCCCCCCCCAACGCTGCACTGCACGATTGCACCATCCCCCCACTAGTGATGACGTACCATTACAATGTATCGCTGGTTGGTGGCCATGTTTGCGTGTTTGCTTGTTCGTTAGTGGTCTCTTCACAATGTCCCTTTTTCTGTATCTTATTTCTTGTTATTTTCGTCGTGGTCCCTTTTCTTCCCAGCTCATTTTCTTCTTTTTCTTTTTCCCTCCTGTTTCCTTTTCCTCTTTTTTCTCTGCTTCTCTTTTTCTCTGTTTTCGCTCTATTTTCTCTCTTTTTTTCTTTCTTTCTGTGACAGATGGCCTTCTCTGCTTGAGTTGTGAAGTACCAAGATTGTACCAAGGGGGTGTACCTCTTCCTCTCTGGCCCGTGATGCTGACTCCTAGTCTCAATTGTTGCCTCGCATAGCGCGCAGAGGGAGCGGAGGACTCCAGAATATCTGTCGTTGATTTCTATTGACTTGGAAAATCCTCCGGGGAATTTTGTTTGAGTTTACCTTTTCAGGATTGATTAGCCTGTGACAACCGGAATCGACCGCGTCAAGTGTTGGACCCGTACGGACATACAAAGGTACTGGGTAGAGAAAGATCGGAACGGTTATTAATGTGAAAACTACAACAACTACAACAACAACTACAACAACAACTACAACAACAACTTTGCCAAAGGTGGCTAAAACATGTCGTTCCTAGTCTTTTTATCCTAACGATATCCCTTCTTGCCTGTTCAAACCACTTCCTTATGTATGCCCCAGTACAGCTACCGTCCTCTCCTCTCTATTCCATGTCTCAAAAATCTCCGTATACCTCCCTCCTATTTTCCTCAGCTGAGTGATGTACACTTCCTTCTCCTTCTCGTACAGTTGAAATTCCGCGACTACATGAACAAGGTCTTCGCATTCGAAGCCGTATTCACACTTGAACTTGTCTTCTTTGTCGTTCTCCAAGGCCTAGGTCGCCGGTCCTGAGTCTCTATGCTTTGTCCGCCTGCATCCATTGGTCCATGTAGGTAATGCTTGAAACCAATTCCTTCCTTCAACATTCCGTTCACTTTTACACCCTCGTTATCCTTGGTTTCATTCCTTAGATTCTGTTCTTCTGTCTCGGTACAAGCAACAGATATCTTCTCCTTGAACCTCTCTAGACCTTCAATTTCCAGCGTTTCATCTTCGTCGATGTCGAGCCCCTTCCAACGTCATCTACAACCTTGACCGATGCCGTGGGTTGTCTACCCCTTTTTTTGTTTGCCCAGTTCACCTATCCTATTCTTAGCAACCTATCGTCTCCCATCCCGCACACGTAATGCTGCCATGTCAGCTTCCTTGGATCTCATCCCTATCGTACGCATCCAATCTCTAATTTTGCCCTGACGGCTGCATTACTTGTGCGCTTGGAGCATCCTATGATGATTTTCGCTGGTTTCATCTGGGCCGCCTCGAGTTCTTTCACTACCTTCTCAGTTTCTTTCCTATGCTTCTTCGGCGTAATCTAGCGGCGGTACGATCAAGCTCTTCAAAACCGTCGATTTGATGCGTATATCGAGGTGCCGGTTTGCGAATATTTGGTGCAGCTTCCCTGCTCGTGCTTTGCCCTTTTCCGCCACCTTGAAGATGTGTACATTCTACGAGCAGTCTTTTGCGATCTCTACTCCTAGGTATGTGTACTGGACTGGTCCACTACTGCAATCTCCTCGATCCCCCGCTTCCATCTATGTTCTACTGGTTCCTCCTTGTTCTCGTTGCAAACCATGACGGCACTTTTCTTAACTCTGGCAGACAATTTCCACGTATCAGTAAACTTCTTCGCCGCGTCAATTTGCAGTTGCAGTCCCTCAGGGGTGTCCGACATACCAACCAAATCATCCGCAAGCAACACTCCCAACATCGAAGTTTTCGTATCCGCTACTTTTACTCCCTTCCGGACTGCCTCTACGACTTCCAACAGATCGTTGATGAACAGCTGGAACGATGTTTGGGATAAACTGCAATCGTGTGGGACCCTCTGTTCAATGTTGAAGATTTTTGACAGTTTTCAGCCTAGCATGACCACACTTTTCGTACACTCTGTCATGACGGCACTCTCTTCTAAATGTTGGCAGAGAATTTCCATTTGTCAGTGAACCTTTTCGCCGCGTCAATTTGCACTTGCAGTCCCTCAGGGGTGTCCGACATACCGACAAAATCATCCGCAAACAGCATTCGCGACACCGAGATTTCCCTTATCTACTTACTTCCGGACTACTTACGACTCGTTAATCGTTGATGAACACCTGAAAACAATGTTGAGGACAAAGTGCAACCTTGTGGGACCCCCTGCTCAATGCTGAAGATTATTGACAGTTCTCCGTCTAGCATGACCGCGCTTTTCGTACACTCTGTCATCTTCTTCAGCACTCTCCACATTTTTTCCTTGATGCCGTGCTTGGATCATTGTTCCCAAAGCCCATTTCTCCATACTGTATCGAATGCCTGTTGCACGTCCAGGAAGAAGCAGTACGTCGGCTTTCCCGCCGTCTTTCTACCTTTGATGATTATCCCTAACGTGAACACGTGGTCTACGCACCCCCTCTTTCGGAAACCTACCTGGCCCTCACTAATGCTATGTTCCTTCTCCGATACTCCCACTATCCTATCGTTCAGCAGCTTACAGAACACTTTTACATCTGTGTCCAATAGTGTGATCCCCCTGTAGTTTCCTGGGTCAGTCTTGTCGCCGTTCTTGAACAACTTCACAACCACTCCATCCCTCCATCTACTTGGAGCATGCTCGTTTTTCCACACCCAATTGTATAGCAGTACCATCAGCTGGATCATCCTAAACCCTTCCCCCAATAATATATGAACTCGTCAACTGTCCCTTCCGCCCCTGCTGCTTGGTGACACTCTAGCTTGTTCACACACGCTCCAACCTCGTCCCAAGTGAAATCCTTTTCAGCTCTACGTTGCCAAGGTCTACCTTCGATGATTCTTCTTCTTGTTGGGCCCATTCGTCCACCTCCTTCTTAAACACTTGGTCAAAAGCTTAATTCTCCCGTCTATCAATCAACATATACCGACTCTTTGGATCTAGACGCACGAGAGGGCAGCACCGATGCTCTCTAGACGCACGAGCGTGCAGCATTTCACATTTTGGCTCTTCAGATCTCAGCGAAGCGGCTCATTTTTGACCCCTCTCAGATTAATTCGCTGAGCGTCGCTCGTCTCCGCGCGTGCGCACCACAGCTGTAGTAGAACTCCCGCCTTCGCGAGTGAGCCCCCGAAATTCTTTCCTATGCGACCGCGCTGCGCAGAAGGACTAATTCGTACGCGCTCGGTTTAGGCGAGGTCCGTGAAACCCAGTGAGAACACTACCAAACTGGCTGATGGTGATGTCGCTACAAAGCTTTCACTTTCCACGCCTGCGGCAAAATGCAAGAATCCAAAAATTCGGCAGCGAAGCGTTCACCCTCTCAGCGCCCCCCGAGACGGCAAGGCAGGCCCTGAAAATTCAGTAGTCTGGGAAACAGCAGTAGTATGAGGCGCTCACAGGACACATACCACAGCAGATGAGCAGGCAGTATCTCAGTCTAACTAAAAACGTTCAATGTACGTGTCCGTTCTGTAGCTGTCCCGGGTTGAGATCTAAGGCCGAGCCGTGTGTGTGTGCGTGAAGAAAGCACCTTTTGGCAGTCCCGCGTTGAAGAATCCTCTTCTTTTGACGCAATAAAACAGATTGGATGCTCTTTTTCGTTTTCGCCACTCGCATCAAAGAGACCGTACTCACCCTGTCACCCTTGGTATGCCGGGTAATAATGACACACACACTGCTTTACGCTCACTGGAGGACGGGAGGCCTGACACTTACCATACGCATGTACCTTGGAGTGTAAAAAGCCCTTGTTCCCTTATACAAATGCTGTGATACGTTTCGTCGCGAATGTTGCTCATCGATGTGTGGTCTAGCATCTATTTTTCCGTCATCGCCCTGTTTTATGTACGTACCCGTTGCCCGTCTGCCCGTCTGCCCGTCGCAGTCGATGAGGTCGCCACAAATTTTGCGGCCGCACTTCCCCGAGCCGTGGTAACCAGCAACACCCTCGAACTGGCAAACGGCACCCTCTTCATTGGCCACCGCAAGATGGGATCCAAGCTTTTTATCCGCTCTTGTTACAAGGATTTGTCAAAGATAATATTCGACGGAGCTATCAACAGTTCTATGGACAATATTGTTGTCACGGGCACACGTGGAATCGGCAAATCCGTGTTCGGCTACTATCTATTGTACCTCCTGCGCCTAGAACATAAAACGGTTGTTTTGGAACAAAAGGAAAAGTGGCACCGATTCAGCGATGAGGGAGTGGTGGAAGGGCGTTTCGAAACTTTTAGTGACGCAGGGTTCCTGAATGACCCCGCAGGTTGGTATTTGAGTGACCCGGAGGGCAAGCCGCGCGAGGATTTCACTGGTATTACAGTTGTTTTGGTGTCGCCTGCGAAGGATAGGACAGATGAATTCCTAAAACAAGATGAGGCTTGTCGTCTGATCATGCCCGTGTGGAGCAAGGATGAGCTGTTGCAATGTCGGCGAATTTTGTTCCCTCATGCCCGAAGTGTCGACGACGTGAGACAAGCTTTTGAAAAAGTTGGGGGTGTTGCAAGAGCAGTCTTCCGACCCACAAGGTTCGCACTTCAAGTGGGGAAGATGGAAAGAGCGACGAGTGGGGTAAATCTGAGTTTGCTTCGCCAAGTTTGCGCAGTTGAACAACGTGAGCTCTTGTCGACCGATGAAACTGGCGACGCACTCTTTCATATGCTGCCTTCACCTGGCACAGCGTACGAGTGTTTCGATGTCGTCTTTGCCAGCGAATACGCTCTTGAGTTAGTTGAGAAAGCAGTTTCCGAAAGGGAATATCTGGATTTTCAAGGCCATGTGATGGCCAGTTTGGAACACGCTGACCTAAACAGCAAGGTGGGAGGCAGCGCACGGGGACAAATGTTTGAAAGGTTGGCACACGCAACCCTCACTAGATCAGTAAGGTTGAAGAAACCTACGGCGTTCAACATGACAATCTTGAGCAGAAGGGGCAAGGATGTTTTGGGAGACGGGGAGCTGAGTTTGAATTTCACTCGGATCAGTGAATTCGGAGGCGAGGCTTTCCCTCAAACAAGGCTTCGCAGGGGGACCTACTATCGGCCAACGAGCCAGACTTTTCCAGCTGTTGACTCGTTCTTTGTGGACCGCGGTACTGGTACACTTTACTTTTGCCAGATGAAGTCTGCGGGCGTGGAGGTGATTGAAACAGGAGCTAGAATAGAGAAGTACTGGAAGCCTGCTTCCAAAAGCAAGTCAATCACGAAATGTGTTCTTGTGTACGTCGTTCCAAGTATCAACTGGCAAAGGGCCATCGACTTGGGTGAAGGTGGTGATTGCTTGAAGGGAGCAACGGCCGATTTTAAGTCGGATTGTGTTGTTTGCACGATAAACTTAAAGAGTCACTTGTATGGCTGAAGTGATGCGAGTTATAGCCTGTACGCTCTAGATTGAAGAAGTTCCTGTTTGACTCTCCCCTCTCGTTTCTTCTGCCTTGCCGATACCATCGGCAAGTACCCGTCTGACCCAACGCTCGTCAAATCCGACCCGTAGGCGAATACGGCCGGACGTGGGGCGGCCGAAACCGGGATTAGCAGCCCGTGGACCCTTCTTTGCGCGTGGAGCTCTAGCGAGAATTGTCCGATTATGCTGTGGCCTAGACGAGTATCTTTTTGGGTTTTGTCTTGGATTGTTTGTCAATGCCCATCCATGCGGGTTGGAATGGCGCTCGATCGCTTGGAGCAGTGTAGTGAAGAAGTGGAGGTCAGGCGGGTGCGAGACCCAGCAGTGGCACGATCCTCAGGGCTTGGCACCAAGGATTGCGAGTGGAAAGTTGCTCAGACAGTTTGAAGTCATCCACCTTCATGTTTTCATACAAACTTTTCCACAACGTCGCATGGAAGTTCCGTGATATTTCCTTGATGCGTACGGATGGAACATCTCGATATTCTGGGTCCGTGAAAAATCCATGTACAGTAGTCGGTACGTGATCCTCTTGATTTCGGTGGTTTTAAATATATACTGCTCCCACTGATCGTGAATACAGCAGTACCGGCCCGATCATAAGTAGCGTTTTTTTAAGAAAATGAGGCTCAAATATTTCAAAACTTCAGAAATTTGGAGGTGAGAAAGAAGGCTCAGCGGCCGGCGGCACACTAAACCCTATATGATGGCTAGAGATGGCCATGCTCGATGCTGGCGACACAACAAGAGAGCTAGCCTCGGCCGAGATATCGGTTTCTTATGAGCGGGCCGATACTGTACAAGTCGAATATGTTATAACTCCGTTACTTAGTGGTTGGTTGTGGGACGTCGGATAAGTTCAAAACACGATGGAATTCCAATTTTCAGTTTGAAAAGTGGTGCAGTATCCGGGAATAAAATATCCACTAATCCGACTCCACATCGGTCTGATCAGGGGAGTTCTGGTCGTCACCCCAGAAGTCGTCGTCGGAACAGTCGTGAAAGCGCCTGGGCGTGTCACTGGCCATCAAAGAGCGGGGGCTCGGAGGCTTAGCCTCCTCGAAGCCGCCCGTATCCTCCGACTCCGTGGTCTCGGGCATGACGTCCTCCTCTACCACCACGCATGTGGCAGCGGCCTCTTCGTCGGCGCCGCCCGTACCCTGGTTTTGAAGTTAGGCGTTTCAGGTCGGGAATTTCAGGTGAGGCCTTCAGATAGGGTTTTCAGGAGGGGTTTTCAAGTTGGGCGCACGCTTTGCGTGACAAAGCGCCAATGCTTCCTATCCCGCCTACGAGCTAGTAGCTGGACGACCTACTTTGTTGAACGCCGGGCTTGTCTCGAACCTGCGAAAGCTCGAGTCTGCCCCATGTCGGGTTGCATAACAAGTTTTGCGTCCGTTTCCTTTGTGAGCACAGCCGCGAAGAAGTACCATGTGGCCCCGACGGGCTTGGGCACCCTATCGAGCAGCTGAAGGAGTGCGCCCCTTTGGTGAAGGTGAGTTTTGGCATGGACCTGGTAGGTCTTCTTGTTCCCTTGGTTTGTTTCGTTTCTCTTTGGTGCTCCTTGAGCCCATATCACGTTGGCTCTTCGTTTACGTTTGTGGTAATGCCTGGGGTCGCAGGGGCTTGTGCTAGAGCGATTGCCTCGCGTTGTTCCCCAACGTCGCCTCTATGTTCGTGCTCGCTTGGGTTTTCCTGAATCGTCGCTGTGGATCTTGCGCGTGGCAGTTGGCACCGTGTCAAATGTGGACCTGCCCCGGAACCAAGTGCTGTGGATGCTGCTGTGAAAGCAACCGGTGCAGCAGTGCTGGACGGGATGGGCACGGAAGTCCATAACTCCGCCCACAATGATCCGGTCCCGATGTTTGCCGAGGGGGCGACGGTGGAACAGAAACAGCGGTTTCAAGATCTGCAGGGCACGGCTCACAAGTTCCTGTGCGACTTCATGCAGGAAGCCGAGCCGTCAACTCCTCGGCGTTTGTCAGCGTGTCTTCCTTGCTGTCGTCCAATCACCCGACCCACCGATCTCACCCCACGTGTTTACTGGAAGGATAGTCTGGAAGGAAATAGAATGAGACATATTGGAAGTAAAAAGAATGAGAAAAAAGAGTTACATGGGAGAGAGGAGTAGAAGGGTAGTCTGCTGTAAAACACGGAAGCGAAGGGAAAGGAGGGAAATGCGAAAAAAGAAGAGGAAGAGAGAAAACGTTAGATAAAATACTAGACTAGACCCCGAGTGGGGGGAGTTTTTTCCGCGCGCACCATCACAACAGCATAACCCGTGCTG